CCAGACACTATAAAAATGAGAAGGAATAATTAAGCAGGAGTTTTCTGCACAGATAATAAAATCTCTAGGCACAATGTTTACAATATTGAAAAGGGCACCAGCTGAAGAGCATATAAATCTGGCTCTAAACCAACCCAAAAATCTACAACTGGTTTAGCCTGCTGAAGTGGTAGAGATTTATTATTACAAGAGGAAAAAAATACAGTGTAACCCAAATCCAAATCCATGTCTGAAAATCGAAAGCTTAGCTGACCTTCAGCTCTTAAAGCTTTGCTTTAGATTATTCTTCCTTTGTTTATGGAATCATATTAAAAAGAGATGATGTAGGCCAATAATTTGTGAAAGAACAGAGTTTAAACCAGGAAGACCCTACTTCTTATAGGGGCAGCCTTTCTTGCTGGAAATTTCTTGGTTTAACACTAAATTGAAGGGGCAGAGAAATATAATTTCTTGAGATGCTTTGTGCTTTGTTTATTTCTGCCATCTCTGGAAAAGTTGATGGACAAGTCAGAGATAGCAAGAGCATTTCGACTTATATGCCGCTTCACAGGGCTTTACAGTCCTCTCTAAGCGGTTTACAGAGTCAGCGTATTGCCCCCAACAATCTGGGTCCTCATTTTACCCACCTTGGAAGGATGGAAGGCTGAGTCAACCTTGAGCCTGGTGGGATTTGAACTGCCAAATTGGAGACAGCCGGCAGTCAGCAGAAGTAGCCTGCAGTACTGCACTCTAACCACTGTGCCACCATGGTTCATGATCAATAATCTTTCCCCAAACCAGTTTTCCTTTCTATAATTCATCTTTCTCCGCCCACCCCTTAATTCCTCTTCACATCCTAGATGTAGGATCTTAGATGGGTATATGATGCCTGAATAAATTGGATTATTCCCCATTGCAACATTAAGAAGAGAAATATTCTGAAATTCACAACTGAAGAAAAATAACGTGTGTTATAATTCTAATTTGATTACAATATCAAGGAAATCAGTCATGAATGAAATCCCATTTTTGCACTGGCTTCATCCACCTACTATTTTGTGGAAATATATACCCTTAGAATACCACTTAGAGGCCTTTGAATCTCTTGGCTTGGGAACAAATGTGTAAGTTTTTGGCACAGTAGGATACACAAAGCCCCTGTCTGGATTTAACATTCTGATGCAAAGTAAGCCACTTAATGGCTTGTTCAATAAATCATAAGTTAAAAAAAAAAATTCCTGGCTTAGCATTCTGTGCAAATTCGCCCAATGAATAAACCGACCGTGTTAATCCTATCTTGCAACTTTTGATGTAATCTATCTTGCAACATTTGTACTCGATTACTCTCCCGCTGAGATATTTCATGTCTTAGGGCCCTCTGAAATGCGGCTGAGGATGGTGAAATTCACTTGCCTTTTTCTAAGGGTATCTTGTTCCTTGAAGGTGGGGTGGGCCAGTGTTACGAAAGAAGGGATGTATTTTATCAAAAAGAGAGAGAGAGAGAGAGAGAGCCACCTGTGCATAAAATCTCATGTTGTTACAAGCAGATGTGCTCAGCTCAGTGTTAGGCTCCAAAAACTAAAAGAGGATCATTGTGCTTCTTCCAACCAAATATCTTTATTGTTCCTTGCCTATAGACAGAATCTTGCCAAACTAAAGCATGCCAACATCCCCATAAAGCATATACTCTGGGAACTATTAGGGAGGAGCCATCTTCACCCTCTTTCCCTCACACAAACTCTATGAGCTAAGTAGTCCCTTGCTCCTCTGGAATGCAGCCGCTCCCTCCTGGAAGTCCAGACTACATAGGAAGGGAAGGAAAAGAAGGAAGGAAGGGAAAGAAGGAAGGAAGGAAGCAAAGGAAGGGAGGGAGGGAGGGAGGGAGGAAAGGAAGGAAGGAAGCAAAGGAAGGAAGGGAGAAAAGAAGGAAAGGGAGGAAGAAGGAAAGGAAGGAAGGAGGAAGGAAGGAAAGAATAGAAGGAAAGAAGGAAGGAAGGGAAGGAAGGAAGGAAACAAAGGAAGGAAGGAAGCAAAGGGAAGGAGGGAGGAAGGAAGGGAAAGAAGGAAGGAAGGGAAAGAAGGAAGGAAGGAAGCAAAGGGAGGGAGGGAGGAAGGAAGGAAGGAAGCAAAGGAAGGAAGGGAGGAAGGGAAGGAGGAAAGGAAGGAAGGGAGAAAAGAAGGAAAGGAAGGAAGAAGGAAAGGAAGGAAGGAGGAAGGAAGGAAGGAAAGAAAGAAGGAAGGAAGGAAGGAAGCAAAGGAAGGAAGGAAGCAAAGGGAGGGAAGGAGGGAGGAAGGAAGGAAAGGAAGGAAGAATGGGAAGGAAGGAAGAAGGAAGGGAAGGAAGGAAGCAAAGGAAGGGAGGGAGGGAGGGAGGTCCCCAAAAGCAAGAAAGATACATTGTGATTTTTTTCCTAGCAGATTTCTTTATTGTTCCTTGCCCATAGACATAATCTTACCAAACCACAGCATGCTAACATCCCCATAAAGCATATATTAAGGGAACTACTAAGAAGCGCCATCTTCACCCTCTTTCTCACACACAGAGACTATCAGAACTGAGTTGTCTCTTGCTTCTCTATAATGCACACCCTCCCCCTTGGGAACCCTGACAATATTCCATCACACACAAGTCAGAATCTCATTTGGAAAGGTCAAAAGGGAGAAACGTACGATGTTAGTGCTGCTATGTTGTCAGTTGCTGACATGCTGCGGACCTGGGGTTGGGGATCCCTTCCTTAGAGAATAAGCCAATCCCCTCTTCATTGTGATAGACCCTCAAGTAGTGGAAGACAGCTATCTGTAGCAACTTGGCCAATTTGTCGTGACAATCAATAGCAATAGCCATAGACTTATATACCGCTTCATAGTGCTTTTACAGCCCTCTCTAAGCGGTTTCCTGAGTCAGCCTATTGCCCCCAACAATCCGGGTCCTCATTTTACCCACCTTGGAAGGATGGAAGGCTGAATCAACCTTGAACCATTCAGGATCAAACTGCTGGCAATTGGCAGAGTTAGCCTGCCATGCTGCATTGTAACCACTGCGCCACCACAGCCCTTCCTTCCTTCCTTCCTTCCTTCCTTCCTTCCTTCCTTCCTTCCTTCCTTCCTTCCTTCCCACTTTACCAATAGCACTTAGACTTATATACCTCTTTATAGTGCTCTACAGCCCTCTCTAAGCGGTTTACAGAGTCAGCCTATGGCCTCCAACAATTTTGGGTCCTCATTTTACCCACCTCAGAAGTATGGAAGGCTGGGTCAACCTTGAGCCAGTGAGATTTGAACTGCCGAACTGCAGCTAGCAGTCAGCTGAAGTAGCCTAAAGTATTGCACTCTAACTACTGCTCCACCTCGGCTCATCCGAGGTGTATAAGAAGCCTGAAGGCTTCATTGAATCCCTTGGAATTAAAATATACAATACAGGAAGAATAATATAATGTAATAATTATTAAGAGAAGGGGTGGGCCAACTTGAGAAATATTGCTGCCTCGAGCAAAGTTACAAAGGGTGAGTCCTCCTTCCTCCCCACGTCAAAGATGGAGTTTTAAAGCTGGATTATTATTATTTTTTTGGCACCTGAATGCAGAAAAGCACACCAGATTCCCTCTGTGACAGTTAAAAATGTAATTATGATATATTAAGGTACTAATGATTTATTTTCATTAAATACAGTAGTGACTAACCATGTATCTTGTTTCATGACACTGAAAATCTGCTAAGCTGGATATCCAATTCATGCTGTTTTACAAGCTGGGTTAGAGAGATGGGGGGTATTTGGGCTGAAATCCAACACATTTCAGGTTGGGGGGATGGATCTTCAAGGACTGAAGCTTGCAGGGCCAGAATCATCATCATCAAAACATTTTGAGATACCTTCTGCATTAAGAATAAGAAGTGAGACACCAGAATCCCGTATTCTTATAAAGATAGGATAAAATAGTGTAAACCCTGGCTTTGTTATAGGCTAGATTCCTGAATGTTGAAGTAGCTTTGAAGGAACTTGTTTAAAGAATCATAGGGGTAGAAGAGACCTTGGAGGTCTTCGAGTTAACCCCATGCTCAAGGCAGGAGACCTTATTCCATCCTGGTTAAATGGTTGTCCAGTCTATTTTTAGAAACCTCTAGGAATGGGTTTATAGGCAGGACCGCAGTGGCTAAGACACTGAGCTTGTCGATCGAAAGGTCAGCAGTTCAGCGGTTCGAATCCCTAGTGCCGCGTAACGGAGTGAGCTCCCGTGACTTGTCCCAGCTTCTGCCAACCTAGCAGTTCGAAAGCACGTAAAAAATGCAAGTAGAAAAATAGAGACCACCTTTGGTGGGAAGGTAAGAGCGTTCTGTGCGCTTTTGGCGTTGAGTCATGCCGGCCACATGACCATGGAGAAAGTCTTCGGACAGCACTGGCTCTTCGGCTTTGAAATGAAGATGAGCACTGCCCCCTAGAGTCAGGAATGACTAGCACATATGTGTGAGGAGAACCTAGGAATGGAGGTCTTTATTTGCTTCTTTTACCGCTACATCTGAATCTCTTTCTTCAGCTTGTCTGTTGACCCTCAAGCAGTGGTGGGATTCAAATAATTTAACAACTGGTTCTCTGCCCTAATGACCAGCTGGGTAGGCGTGGCCCACGCAGTGGCCAACTCAACATCACTCATGTCGATGGGCGCTTCGCCTTAGCTGTTACAATGTAATAAGGGTTAACCGGAGAGGCAGTTTCTATAAACAGAGCAATAAAGATTAGTCTAGAAACACCACCAGAATGTTTCCTTCCTGCCTTCCTTACAGGATTAGCCCTGTAAAGTAGGGAAAAAAACAAAATAAGATTTCTTCCAACAACTGGTTCTCTGAACTGCTTAGAAAGTTAACAACCGGTTCTCCCGAATTGGTGCGAACTGGCTGAATCCCACCACTGCCCTTAAGTATTGGTTGAGTTTCGAGAGAGAGATTTACTTCAATGCACTGGGTGAAGTTCTGATTAGATCTTTACTAAACTCTTGATTTTTGCATCTCTTTTCTTGATCTTGCAGGCCATCCGATGCACTCTGTTAAACTGTAGCTGCCAGTGTTTTAAGACTGGAAAAATAAACCAACGACAGTGTGATCAGTGTCGGCATGGATGGGTAGCTCATGGTAGGTAGTATAGTATGATGTACTAAAATTCTTTGTGATGGGGCTGTTGATGTTCTCTGTCTGAGAAAGTTTCGTTTGGAGTTTTAATTTAAAGTCAACTCAATTAAGTCTAGAAACCTGTTGTCTGAAGCAAAATTGGCCAGTCTCTTTGAATAATTAAACAGTATAATTGATCCTTCTGAATGAGTTTTGTCTCTAAGCATGTACAGGTTCCCCCCCCCAAACGTATTTAAAAATCTGAATTGAATAAATTCAATTTGAAGACTGGATTAAGATGACTGAATGAAATCAGATCTAGCTTCCAAATTAAATCAGATTTTGCTGATTTGTATACCTCTATTGTCTAGCTGTCAGCTAGTCGTACAATTAGATAAATATACAAATCCAGTCCTCATTTTGCGTGGCAAAGCTGATGATAAGAATAAAAAATAAAAACCTAGAACATTTTTCATACGTAATTTGATTTGGTGTTGCCTCCTTTGAGGGAGAAATTGCTATACAGTATATTTTATCCTTACATGCCAATTTGCTTTGTAATCTGCTTTGCAGTTCAATATGTGCTGAATTAACTATTATAAGTGAAACTATAGGTTTAGATCACTGGTGAAATGCAAAATTTTTCCCTACCAGTTCTGGGGCGTGGCTTGGTGGGCATGGCTTAGTGGGGGGTCATGTGACTGGGTGGGCGTGACCTTTTTTTTTTTTACTTTTTTAAGCATTTTTTTCTACCTATTCGCCCAAACCGGTAGTAAAAGAATGCTTTAAAAAAGTTTTTTAAAAAGTTCCAATGATCACGCAGCACAGCTGATTGTCACAGCTGATTGTCGTAACCTCTTTTTTTTTTATTTTTTTTTTTACTTTTTTAAAGCATTTTTTTTACTAGCTTTTGCCCCAACCGGTAGTAAAAAAAAATGCTTTAAACAAATTTTTTAAAAAGTTCAGAAGATCAGCTGTGCTGCGCAATCGTTGGAACTTTTTTTTTTACTTTTTAAAGCACTTTTTTACTACTGGTTCAGGCAAACCGCCCCGAACTGGTAGCATTTCACCCCTGGTTTAGATTGAAAAAGAGAACAACAGGTAAAGAAAAGATTGGTCTAAGACTTCTGTCTCCCAAGCATTCCAAATGATCACTTCTGATTGTTTTTTTTAAAAAAATAACCAAGCTATCAGAATCTTCATTACATGCAAATCTACTTGACTTAAATCATATAGGTTTCTACATATTTCTTTGTATATTTCCATCCAGGTCCATCCAGGTCAGTAAAATGAGGACCCAGATTGTTGGGGGCCATATGCTGACTCTTGAAACTGCTAAGAGACAGTTGTGAAGTGCTATATAAGTCTTAAGTGCTATTGCTAAGTTCTATAGATTGTAGCACCTGGTTTATTGCAAAGGTGAGCAATCTATGGGCCCAGATCAGGGGTGAAATTCAGCTGGCTCTATCCGGATCGCGCGATCCGGTAGTGCCTGTGGCAGGAGGCTCCGCCCACCCACCCAGACATCATCAGGTCCCGGTTTCGACCCTCTGTGCATGCACAGATGGATCTGCGCATGCGTGGAGGAGGTGCACGCACTCACATTTGCGAACCGGTAGTGAAGGTAAGTGGATACCACCCCTGGCCCAGATGTTATGGTACTATATCTCCCAGTTTCCCTTGTCATTAGCTATTTCCTAGGGTTGCTGGGAGTTGTAGTTCAGCAAATAGTAGGAAGACCAAATCCCTTGCCTATTGATCAGATATTTCTAATTTGTCAGACCATAGGGAATGATGTTGGAATGGCTGTTAAAGCATTAATTAAGGAACGATCAGATGGATAAGCGCAGAGTGCGGCCGCGCGGGTGGTTATGGGAGCGACATGGCGTTCCCATTAACACCTCTCCTGCGCGAGCTGCACTGGCTCCCGGTGATCTTCCGTGTGTGCTTCAAGGTCTTGGTTACCACCTTTAGAGCACTCCATGGCTTAGGACCTGGTTATCTACGAGACCACCTGCTGCCACCAGTAGCCTCCCACCGGCTGGTACGCTCTCATAGAGAGGGGCTCCTCCAGGTACAGTCGGCTAAACAATGTCGACTGGCGGCTCCCAGGGGGAGAGCCTTCTCGGTGGGGGCACCTACTATCTGGAATGAGCTCCCCCCGGAGATAGGGAGGATCCCGGATCTACGCACCTTCCGTCGCGCTCTTAAAACCTTTTTATTCTATCAGGCTGGCCTGGCCTAATTTTTCCCGTTTTTCCTTTTAAAATACAAATTTTAAATTGGTTTTAATTTATTGGGGTGTTTTAAATCGGTCTTCAGCCAAATTATTTAATCCGGTTTTATTCTGTTTTAATTTTTGTAGTAATGTGTTTTTATCTTGTGGCTGTTCACCGCCCTGAGTCCTTCGGGAGTAGGGCGGTATACAAATCAAATAAAACATAAACAAGCATAAACATAACAATCCCTAGTTGCTGAACCGCTATTGCTAGTGTGGTTATTTTGTACCCAGTTATTCATCGGTGGCTGCATTTTCTTTTCATCGTTTCAGCTTTAAGTAAACTAAGGATCCCAAACTTGTACCCAACCAGCCAAGTGGAAATAGTCCAATCCAATGTAGTCTTTGACATAAGCAGCCTCATGCTGTATGGAACTCAGGCTGTTCCTGTCCGTCTCAAAATCCTCCTGGATCGTCTTTTCAGTGTCTTGAAGCAAGAAGAGGTCATACATATCCTCCATGCTCTGGATTGGACGCTTCAGGACTACATACGTGGTTATGTTTTACAGGTAAGCATCAAATTCATGGTTCTTCCTAACAGACAAAAAGGGCGGAGAGGAAGGGAGCCAGCATGGAGTCATTGGAATCCAAAATATCAGGACACGTAGAAGACATATCGCCATAGAGTTCTTGAAGAACAGGGATGGAATCAGACATTATCTCCACCGAAGCACCATTTTTACTATGGTAGGGAGATATACAAAGCAACCTAAAAAAAAAAAAAAGTGGGATTGCTAGACCTTTAGCTAGAGTTATGCAAATTAAAATATATGGATGATTGACCAATAGGATTGGAATATACATGTCAGGCTTCGATGCTATCTCAAAATAAATGAACTTCCAAACTGCCAATCTTTAAGGAAATTTTCTCTTTATTTGAGTTACAGCAACTGGATCCTGGCTCTTTCGCGGTCAGTACTGACCTTTGCCCCCCAATCCCTCCCTTTCCGATCCCCAATTCTCTGCTTCTCATTGGCTATCTTCCAAGTCACTCTCCTGATTCCTTTTCCCGTCAGTTCACAGGAATGTTTACCCCCCTCTTCATCTCCAAGGAGACCGAAACTTCAAAGGGATTTAGCAGGCAAAAGTTCAGGCTTCATCCTCCCTTTTCTATGTCAGTGCTGAGACGCTGACAATACATATATATAAGGTCTGTAAAGATTCTCAGTCATCCAGGTCATCGTTGTCCCAAAAGTGCTTTTTTATCAGGAGGCAACTGGACTTCCTTGCTTTTTCTTTGAAGACCTTTCGCTTCTCATCCAAGAAGCTTCTTCAGCTCTGACTGGATGGTGAAGGAATGGAAGGATTTATATTCCTTGCAGACAGCTGGTCATTTGCATCCTTTTAGAGGGTCGTTGAAGCACTTGGAGGTTTATGTGGGTGCTCCTGGTTCCTGCAGTCTGCAATTTTTTTCTGGAAATCCATTCCTACTCCCATGAACACCTTTGAATGGTGTGGGAGCAGGAATGGATTTCCAGAGAAAAATTGCAGGCTAGAGGAATCATTTGCACTACTCAGGTGTTTAAACTCTTGCCGCGGGGCTTCAAAGGGCCGCCCCACAGCTGATCAGTGTGGTGGTAGACCAGTGCGCTTGAAAAACAAATGGGTAGACCGGTGCCTCTAAAAACAAATGGGTAGACCAGGACACTCCAAGAACAAATGACTGTAGACTGGTACAGCTCTGCAAGCAGTTAAAAACCTGGTAGACCAGTACCTCTGCTAAATCCTAAAGAATTGTCACATGACCATCAAACCACGCCCACAAAATAAGCCACGCCCACAGAACCAGTAGTAAAAAAATGTAGAACCCACCCCTGTTCGTTACCAAGTGTCACTCATTCACTGCATAATTACCGAGACCCAAGTGACATCCTTTTAGATTTGACCTGCATCAAGCATAGACGTCCACTCGACACAATACCCATTGCCCACCGCTCTGCTCGCTGTGCTTCCTTCCTTTAATGTAAAGTATGATTTACATTATGCCCCCGATAAATATTTAATGCCACTTGATAATCTTGCTTTTTAGTGTTAAGATGAAAAAAAAAAAAAAAAAGACCAGGGGCTCAATTACCTTGAACCTCTTTTGCATGAAAAATTGATGACGATACGTTCGTCTTTAGAAAACCTCTCGCGTGCCCAGTGAAATTTCTCGGTGGGCCATCAAATACATGTTCTGTAATAAAATATTTATTGTAGTTATTGGGGAAAAGTTTGGTAGAGGTTGGGAGTTTGAAAGAACTCCAACACTCTCGTGTAATTACAGCTGTGCTCTCTGAACCGGAGAAAGGATCGATTCGGGTTCATTTGCTCTTCTGATCTTAGCGCAGAATATGATTAAAGTTGCAAAGGAAGAATACTCAACTTAGAAGTGAGGCTAAATCTCCTTTTGATTGCTCCACCGTGTTGCCTTGTACTCGGGTTTTGTTCCACCGGCACATATCCTAACATTATTGGGAGGATCACAAAACACCTTTCCAATCATTCTGTTAGGATGGCTGTAGAAAGAACTCGGGCCAAGGTGATTGAAAACTCAAGAATGACATGCTGCAAAGGTGTGCTGGCAGCAGGTAGATCAATTATGTGGATTCCGCTAGACAGAAGCCCTCATCTCTCAGAAAGCTGTCCAAGATCAGCAACTAGCAGAGGCTAAACTGGTTCCTAAGCAGGGGTGAAATGTAAAATTTGTTACTACCGGTTCTGTGGGTGTGGCTTGGTGGTGGAGGGTGGTAATGTGACTGGGTGGGCGTGGCCAACTTTTTTTTTTTTTTAACTTTTCAAAGCATTTTTTCTAATGCTTTGAAAAGCCTCTGGCGATCAGGCAACTCAGCTGAGATCGTCAGAGAGGCTTTTAAAAAAATGCCTCTCTGCTGATCAGGCAACTCAGCTGGGATCGTCAGAGACTTTTCAAAGCATTTTTTTTTTACCACCTCTTCGGCCAAGAGGTTGCAGAAAAAAAATGCTTTGAAAAGCCTCTGACGATCCCAGCTGAGCCGCGCGATCATCAGAGGCTTTTTTTTTTACTTTTAAAAGCATTTTTTTGTCGGAAGAGGTTGTAGAAAAAATGCTTTTAAAAGTAAAAAAAAAAGCCTCTGATGATCCTGTGGCTCAGCTGGGCATGGTGGGGGGGTGGGGTGCAGGGATTTTTGCTACCGTTTCTTCGAACCACCTGCCGCCATCGCTACCGGATCAGGCGATCTGGTCCAAACCAGGAGCATTTCACCCCTGCTCCTTAGACAAGGGTGGCTTTTTTGGATGAGGTCCAGCTGGTAGCCTTTTGTTCCTTTCCTACTGGATTTCTTGAAACAGCTTGGTGGAACAAATACAAAGGAAAGCAGTGATGGGATTCAACATTTTTTACTACCAGTTCTTCTTTTGTTGTTGTTGTAAAGTATTTTTTTATTTTTTAAGACAAACAAACATTTAGTACATCATTCATTTCTTCCATGTAACATTTCAGTGTTATCTTCAAAAGTTTCTTCTCTTCTCTACCTCTTCTGTCTTCAATCTCACCAAATCCATTACAAATATTTTCCACTAATATAATATTTTAATTACAACCAATTCTTTTTGTTTTCCAATCTCTTTTAAAAACTTATTTGTTTCTCTCTTCTAATCAATAATAAAATTTATTCCATAGCTTAAAGTATTCTGAATCTTCTCTTTCCTTTATCATCAGTTAATCTATTCATTTCTGCACAATCTAAAAAAAATTAATTACTTCTCCGTCCGAAGGTATATTCTCTACTTTCCAATTTTGTGCATAAACAATCCTTGCTGCTGTTATTACATGAATAATCAAATATACATATTATCTTTACTAATTTTCTCTGGTAAGATACCCAATAGGAATAGCTCTGATTTTAAATCTATACGTTGTTGTATCATTTCCTCCACCCATAACTTAATTTTATTCCAATAGTTTTTCACTTCAGGGCATGTCCACCACATGTGGTAATATGAACCTGGTAGCTGGTGACATTTCCAACATTTAGCTGATTTATCTTTAAACATTTTTGCCAGTTTCTCAGGGGGCATATGCCATCGATAAAACATTTTATATTGATTTTCCTTATATGCAGTGGACATTTTTTACTACCAGTTCTGTGGGCGTGGCTTGGTGGGTGTGACAGGGGAGAGATACTGTAAAATCTCCATTCCCTCCCCACTCCAGGGGAAGACACTGCAAAATCCCCATTTCTTCCTGATCAGCTGGGACTCGGGAGGCAGAGAATAGATGGGAGCGGGGTCAGTCAGAGGTGGTATTTACCGATTCTCCGAACTACTCAAAATTTCCGCTACCGGTTCTCCAGAACTGGTCAGAACCTGCTGAATACCACATCTGGAAGGAAGGCTTCCAAAGCAGTTTGCAACTTGATTTTTTTAATTGCCACATTTTGGGGGCCATATTTTATTAAAGTTCCCACCTCGGTGGTGCAGCGGACTAAGTGATGTTAAGTGCTAGCACTTAGCTGCCAGCTGCCTGCAATTAGTGCGAGATCAAATCTCACCAGGCTCAAGATTGACTCAGCCTTCCATCCTTTCGAGGTAAGTAAATTGAGGACCCGGATTGTGGGGGCAATAAGCCAGCTTTGTATAGAACAACACCGCTTAGGGGGGGCCAAAAGCCCTAATAAGCAGATATATACATAAAAAGTATGCAGGCTATTGCTATAATGCATTGTAAGCTGCTCTGAGTCTACGGAGAAGGGCAGCATATAAATTGGACTAATAAATAAATAAACCTTGCCCTTTTGATGCCAGGCCAAGGATTTTCAGAGCCGTGGTGGCACAATGGTTGGAAATGCAGTATTGCAGGCTAACTCTGCTGACTGCCAGCAGTTTGGCAGTTCAATTCAAGGTTGACTTAGCCTTCCATCCATCCAAAGTTGGTAAAATGAGGAACCCAGATTGTTGGGGGCAAGATGCTGACTCTGTAAACCACTTGGAGAGAGCTGTAAAGCACTGTGAAGCAGTATGTAAGTCTAAGTGCTATTGCTATTTAAGTTTCCCATTGAAAGAAGAGAGAAGGTCTCCCAATTCTTGAGATTCTCAGACGTCCAGGTCATGGTTGTCCCAAAAGTGCTTTTTTTTCAGGAGGCAACTGGACTTTCTTGCTTTTTCTTTTGAAGACGTTTCGCTTCTTATCCAAGAAGCTTCTCCAGCTCTGATTGAATGGTGGGGAATGGAAGGATTTATATTCCTTGCAGACAGCTGGTCACTTGCATCCTTTTAGAGGGTCATTGAAGCACTTGGAGGGTCTCCCAATTCTTCTTTCTCATGATCTCCCCAGTTGTCTTCACTTCTCTTTCTGCTGTACTCTTGACAATCAATTATGTTAGACAGCAAGTAGACCAGATAAATGAAGAAGAGCAGCTTAGGTATACGACGAACATCTAGTCTCTCTCCTCTTGTATTTATTTTATTTATTTATTTGATTTGATTTGTATACCGCCCTTCTCCAGCAGGACTCAGGGCGGTGCCCTTGTACAGGGCAATTGAGAGTGCTCTACTTGTTAGAAACCAAACAGAACATTTCTCTCTTTGGTCACCCTGGAGAAGTCAACCCAAGTCAATGAACTAATCTACTTTTCTGTTGAAGCTAGTATGTTGCCCTTTCAAGTGTATTGTTACTGTTGTCATTTGTCTTTTTGAAGGATGCTTCAGGAAAAGTCCTGGATCACTGGAGTATCATGTCTGGCGAAGAAGAACTGGCTACCTTGCAGCAATTTCTACGTTTTGGGGAAACCAAGTCCATTGTGGAGCTGATGGCCATTCAGGAGAAAGAAGGGCAATCCATTACTGTTCCACCAACCACAGCCAGTATGGATATTAGAGCCTTCATCGAAAGCTGCAATCAGAGAAACTCCAACCTTTCGGCTCCTTTAGACAAAATGCACCCCATCCACGTCCATCACTTTGAAAATGTGGTCAATAACATGGCATTTATGCTGCCCTTTCAGTTTTATAGCCCCGTTCCTCCACCTCTGATCGGTTCGCTCCCAGAGAGGCTCTTGATGGAGTCCTCTCGAGATCACAGCCCTGACTTAAAACAAGACGACTACATGCCGTTTGCTGAAAACAGTTTCTTAACTTCCAATCCGTCATTTCACCCAGAAAAGGAGAAAGGGACCATCAGCCCGGACCTCACTTTGAAACTGAAAGAGGACGTTTCACCAAGTGGTTTGAAAACTCAGACCGCGTCCTCCAAGCTGGAAACAAACCAGGTGTCTCAAGAAATTAAGATGAAGTCAGTTGACAAAAATGGGGCCGCAATAAGGAAAGGTCGTGTTTTCTGTACGGCCTGTGAGAAGACCTTTTATGACAAGGGCACTCTGAAGATCCACTACAACGCCGTCCATCTGAAAATCAAGCATAAATGCACCATTGAAGGCTGCAACATGGTGTTCAGCTCGCTGAGGAGCCGAAACCGTCACAGTGCCAATCCCAACCCCAGACTACACATGCCCATGAACCGAAACAACCGGGATAAAGATCTCCGCAATGGGTTGTCCCTCCGTGGTCTGGAGGAGACCAAAAGGACCGATTTTACCCTTTTGCCTCCCGATCACAGATCGGTTCCTATCTATGGGAGTTCTGGTACCGATGCCAAAATCCAACCAGGTTTTCACCACAGCGGACACAACGGTGTCCTCTTTCCCAATTTGAAGACGGTGCAACCAGTGCTTCCCTTCTACCGCAGCCCGGTCACCCCGGCCGAAATAGCAAACACACCAGGTACGCTTCCTTCTCTACCTCTGGTTTCCTCGTCGGTACCTGAACCGCAGGGGTCCAGTGAGTTGCCCTTTGACCCTTTGCCTAAGAAAAAATCCCGTAAGTCTAGCATGCCCATCAAGATAGAGACAGAAGCTGTTGACACCACTAGCCCAGCTAATGAAGTGGCCGGTTCAGAAGATGATGGGACTTCGAAGGCGGTAAGTGAAGGGCCTGTGGAAATGGGGGTGTCTAGGATAGAAAAAAATGCCAATCATCTCATGGAGAAGGAATCTCACTCAGAGGCGTTGGGGATGTCCGTTTCCAAGGTTGGAGGGCTCAAATCGTTGCAGGCTGTCGAGACAGATAACCAGTGCACTGCAATGGACCAACGGCATAAGCCAGACCAAGACAAATCGCTAAGAATAGCCTCTTGTGAGAATGCACGCGAAGCATCCAACCAACTTCACGATGTGACCAAAGCAGCATCTGAGCCTTACGGCTACCTTAGAGAACCGTTGAATTGCAGGATCCCAATGAACAGCTGGCCCGAACTGCACTACCACTTGTTGAGTGGAAGCAGTTTCAGCACGCTATCCAACCGGAGTCTGGCTGTTTCTGAGTTTGAAGCGTGTAAAGAGATGGAACACGGGTCTCCCCGGGCCCTGGGCCTTCCGCAGGAAGACGCCCGCTTTCGTTGCGACATCTGCCTGAAGACTTTTAAAAACCCTTACAGCGTCAAAATGCATTTTAAAAACGTGCATCTGAAAGAAATGCACACTTGCGTTGTGGAGGGTTGCAATGCCGCGTTTCCCTCGCGTAGAAGCCGAGACAGGTAAGGATGGGCGGGCAAAATCACTGTGTACCCCGCCTCCCTTGTGTTTAAAATAAACGGGTTTACACAAGAGGGCTTATTTTATGTTTTGGGGAGGGATGCAACAATCTGTTCATGCCTCCTTTACTGGCCCATTACACTCTTTTGTCAGAACAGCATTAAAATGAAAATCCATCGTCCAAAGTTTCTCTTAGAATAACAGAGTGGGAAGGGACCTTGGAGGTCTTCTAGTCCAACCCCCTGCTTAGGCAGGAAACCCTACACCACTTCAGACCAATGGTTATCCAATCTCTTCTTAAAACCTTCCAGTGTTGGAGCATTCGCAACTTCTGCAGGCAAGTTGTTCCACTGATTAATTGTTCTCACTGTCAGGAAATTTCTCCTTAGTTCTAAGTTGCTTCTCTCCTTGATTAGTTTCCACCCGTTGCTTCTTGTCCTGCCCTCAGGTGCTTTGGAGAATAGCTTGACTCCCTCTTCTTTGTGGCAGTCTCTGAGATATTGAAACACTGCTATCATGTCTCCCCTGGTCCTTCTTTTCATTAAACGAGACATACCCAGTTCCTGCAACTGCTCTTCATATGTTTTAGCCTCCAGTCCCCTAATCATCTTTGTTGCTCTTCTCTGCACTCTTTCTAGAGTCTCCACATCTCCACATAGAACTAAACTCTGCTTTTCAGAAGGCAAGGAGGTGGCCATATTGCTGATAGGCGATGAAAATAGAAAAGAAGTGCATTTTTAAGATTAAGATGAAGGAGGTTAAGTACCGCTTCACATTCTGACTTTACTTTATTTATGGGGGTTCGTTTTCCTTGCCAGGTTTTCTATCCACGTTATAAAGTAAGGATGAACGATAATGTCTTTCTAGAAATCACAGTGGAAGATTCCTCTGTATTTTTATTTATTTTTTATTGCTGTCACCATTTCTATCCTGCCGTTCTAATATCCACTAAGCAAAGTCTGGTCTCTTTTTATCTTGGGGGGGGTTTAAGAAGAGTATAGAGTTCTTTGGAATCGTCCTGGCCACTGCTGGCCCAAATTAAGTCCTCCGTATTGTTTTTAAATCTAGCAGTTTCCATCCATTATTCCTTGTCTGGCCTTCGAGTGCTTTGAAAAATAGCTGGACCCCCTTCCTCTCTGTCGCAGCCCCTCAAATATTGGAAGGCTGCTATCCTGTCTCCCCTGGTCCTTCTCTTCGCTAGACCAGCCATGCCCAGTTCCTGCATTGACAGTCGGAATTGTCACAGCTCCTATTCTTTTTCAGTTCTTTGGCGACATTTTCCCCTCCTTGGGGATAATATTCTGTGCATCTGATAACGGTATTTTTGTCTGGAATGATTGTGTTTATAAAATGCAACAGGTCACTTTACCGGTTTAGTGCAAATAGGGCTGGAAATAATATTAACACGGAATATGATTGCCGTTCAGGATCACCTCTGTTTGCCTTTAGCTGCAGAATTTTATACAGGGGTGAAATCTAAAATTTGTTACTACCAGTTCTGTGGGTGTAGCTTGTGGGGGATGGGGGTAATGTGACTGGGTGGGTGTGGCCAACTTTTTTTTCTTTTTTTTTTACTTTTAAAAGCATTTTTTTGGCCAAAGTGGTTGCATTTTTCGGCCGAAGAGGTTGTAAAAAAATGCTTTTAAAAGCCTCTGATGATCCCAGCTGAGCCATGCGATCATCAGAGGCTTTTTTTTTTCTTTTAAAAGCATTTTTTCGGCTGAAGAGGTTGTAGAAAAAATGCTTTTAAAAGTAAAAAAAAAGCTTCTGATGATCGCACGGCTCAGCTGGGCATGGGGGAGGGGGCAGGGATTTTTGCTACTGGTTCTCCGAACCACCCGCCACCATCGCTACCGGATCGGGTGATCCGGTCCGAACCAGGAGCATTTCACCCCTGATTTTATATTTTAATGAGCACTGCTATCCTGTCTCCCCTGGTCCTTCTCTTCACTAGATCAGCCATGCCCAGTTCCTGCAATCGCTCATTGTATGTTTTAACCTCTGATCCCCTTTTAACATTTTACAACTTTTAACTTTTTTTTTCCCTAAAAAGGAAGCTTCCCTGCTCCTCTTTTTTTACTCTAGATATTTCTTTTTTATTTCTCCAGACACAGCTCCAATTTAAACCTTCACCATAAACTTTTAACGAAAGACCATTTGGACATCAACAAGAACCATTTCAATGCGATTGATCTCTTGAAGGACATGGCCAAAGACGTCTGTCCAGAAGCCTGCTTGAAAGAACATCTGGAGCAACACACAACGGTCATTTTCAAAAGCAAAACAAACAGAACTGGCAGCTTGGTTTTCCCAATGAGCAAGATCGCACAAGCCTGTCCCGAGAGCTGCGGGCCCGACCCCAACGAGGGAGCCATTCTGGATTTAAGCACCACGTCTAGCGTTAAATCCGAGAGTGGAACTCACTCCTCTTGGGATTCGGATGGAGGCAACGAAGAAAGCCCTTTAGAGGACAGCAACGAAAGCTGTGAAAGTATTTGCTTGACGCCCAATGAAGAGCTTTACCAAGACTGTTGTCCGGTGGAGGCCCCTAACCCGAATTTCCCAACCGCACCTTCCTGCTTGCCAATCACCTGTCACCTCTGCCAAAAAAGCTACAGTAATAAAGGAACCTTCCGAGCCCATTACAAAACCGTGCACCTCCGTCAGCTGCACAAATGCAAAATCCCAGGCTGCAACACGATGTTTTCTTCTGTTCGTAGCAGGAACCGACACAGCCAAAATCCCAATTTACACAAAAGTTTGAGCAGGTCGTCCCACAGCCCTCTGTAATAATAGCTCAGTATTTCAGAGTATTTCAGTTGCTGTTGTTGTGTTCTATTTATCATTTCAGCGTTTTCTTCTTCGTTGTTGTTAAGCGTTAGAAAGAGGCACGGTTTCACTTGCTTTTCCGTACACCCTGTTCGAAACACGAGGTGCAATTCCATTCTCGTTCCAATGCACCCACCCCAATGGGTTTGGTTTTTGCATACTGTAAACGTGGACGCCAATATAATATAACGAGATACAAAGCTAGCCCACAAAATGAGTCAGGTTTTTTTTTTCCTCTTCACTCTTCTCTTCTGTTATAAAACTAAGTCCAGCTTGTGACACCAATATTTTGCATTTGACGCCCAGATGCCATTTTCGGCACCAGTCCTGTCTTTGTTTTAATGTGTAGCTCCTCCCACGAGCTGACTTGACAGTATTAAATTAATGTGGTGGTTTCCCCATAATTTATTATTGTATGCCTGGGGAAGAGAAAGGTGGCAGATTTAAGAAAAACTGTAGCATTTGATTCTGGAGTCCTTGGTGGCAGAAGAAATTCTGTTTGAAGACCCATTGTTGAGTTCTCTTCTGCCCGATGGCTTGTATACTGTTCTCACCACATTTGAAAACAGGACAATTCCACAGGTTTTCTTCTATATCTGAAGGACACAGTTGGCTTCAAGATGGACCTATGAACTGCCAGATGCTAAAGCCACTCAGCAGTTCTTGGGTGTCTCTTGAAACTTACTTTCAAGCAATCCCGTATTTTTCTTTGCAAGGAAACAAATCCTAGAAAACAATGCAAGTTCTAATTTTGTGTGTGTGTGATTTTTTTTTGGAAAGACTCTCCATTGACTTTTGAGAGGATCGCATGAATTGTATACAGGACCAGCGAAACCTGAGATGCATTCAAACATTTTGAACCACACGTCGGACATTTTGAAATGCAATGTATAGTTTTTACTGCACTTTTTTTTATTGCCTCGTTGAGAAAAATTAAATCCTGGGGGAAAAAATTGCATTCGACATTTTCCAGAATTCGGCAGGAAGCGACGCGAAAGAGGGAGGATCTATTAATATGAATAGATATCTCTCTACTGTGTTGATGTACAATGGTGGGCTGGGCAGAAAACCGATATTTTATTACAGCTTTAATAAGAATCGTCCACTGACTTTGATGACGTTCTGTTTTGTATTAGCACATTATTTAGTATAAATGAATAATATTCCGCATCCTGGTCATTATGCATAATATCACTTTGGTGTTATGTCTTATGCACTTAACGACACTGGAATTGGTCTTACATTTTACTGAAAGGACACTTTGGTTCTATTTAATTTTCAATCAGGCGATTGCATTCCTGTGGTTGTGTATGCCACTTGCGAATACGTTTGGTGAAATAACGATGAGCAGTGAAAGCAATTCAAATATTTTTTTTTTTTAATCACTAGACCTTTGAATGATATATATTTATATCATGGGTTGATCCATTGTATTCAGCAAGCATGATGCCAAAGGTACATTGAGTACATATGATGCCAAAATCATTCCAATTCTTTTTCTTTCTTTCTTTCTTTGACATGAGATCTCTCTCCTCCCCAGATTTTTCCAGTTGGCTACATTTGAAAACCTGTTATTTGTTGTTGTCGCTGTTGTGTAATGTCTGAATAATATTAAGTTAAACAAAAAAGTTTTTTTTTACATTGCAGATAAGATAAACAGGGCAAGGTATGTATCTTGGATACTCAGTGATTAATTTATTCTAAGCCAGACAGTGCGTACTATCCCATAAAACCCAGTTGCACTCAGTTGCATTATTCTTGCTCTGACGTGTAAAGGTTGCAGACCCAGTTTACTGTTGCTAGAGTCTAAACTTTATTTTTTTTAAAAAAAAAAAAAGTCTAATCAACAGTTAGATTGGGTGGGGGCTCCAGATTCATAAGGGAGGGGACCGTTTATATCAGCAGCTGAGCAATTTCCAAAGAAATTGTCAGTTATAAACTGACTCCTTCAAACCAAATTGGATTTGTGCACTGATTCCAAAATGAGATTTTGAAGACTGGATAAGAGAGAACAATGGGATGTTCAACCTTGGCAACTTTAGAATTTGTTCTGTTCTGTTCTGTTCTGTTCTGTTCCGTTCCGTTCTGTTCCATTCCATATTTTCTATTCTGTTCTGTTCCGTTCCATTCCATTCCATTCCATATTTTCTTTTCTGTTCTGTTCTATTCTGTTCTATTCTATTCTATTCTATTCTATTCTATTCTATTCTATTCTATTCTATTCTATTCTATTCCATATTTTCTATTCTGTTCCGTTCCATTCCGTATTTTCTATTCTATTCTATTCTATTCTATTCTATTCTACTCTACTCTACTCTACTCTACTCTACTCTACTCTACTCTATTCCATATTTTCTATTCTATTCTATTCTATTCTATTCTATTCTATTCTATTCTATTCTATTCTATTCTATTCTATTCTATTCTATTCTATTCTGGCTGGGGAATACTGGGAGTTGAAGTCCATAAGTCTTAAGGTGGCCATGGTTGGACACACCTACTTTATCGTGTGGACCCAATACGCTTAAATCCAAAGACTGTTGTGTGTTTTGGATGGAAATTCATCCAAGACTCGAAGATCCTAATGTTGCAGCAGCATTGATATTGACATGAAGGTTGAACGGAATGAGTGAATAAGCCAGGTGAGCAGAAGACACGAGGGAAGAGTTGTGACTTGCAACAGGGTTAATAAAGTTGGCAGGTCTCTTCCCCATTCCCGCAGGTTTTGTTATACATAAGAACATCTTTTTTAAAAAGGAGCAGATGCTGAATACTGTGGATTCTTTAGAATTTCAGGCCTTCTCTTCTGCAACTGAGCAAAAGGAGGTCTCAGAAGTTACTCAGGAAAGCTCAAATGATCAGCTTGACTAGTTGGCTCAGTGGCTAAGACACTGAGCTTGCCGATCAGAAAGTTCAGCAGTTCGAATCTCTAGTACAGGTCTTCTTCGTGAGCATGGGGTTGGACTAGATGACCTCCAAGGTCCCTTCCAACTCTTGTTACTGATGAGAATCCTCTTCGTAAACTTTGACAGCACTGCCAGAAAGTGGTGTGCAGATGTAGTAAAACCAGTCTGAATAGAACGGGCAACGGTCAGGTTGATGCCATTCCTATGTTTAAATATGCCAAGCTATGCACAGATGTTTCATCACGGACTAAATGAAGCAAAACCATTTGTGCTGTAAATAGGGTGTAGCTGTACCATGCACCAGGCGTACCAAAAAAAAAAAAATCTCAGGGAAACAAAGCTCATTGTCAAGAGGAAGATAATCCACACACACACACAAAACAAGTTGGCAATTCTCAACCTGTGAAAAGGGGATTTGGGGTGACCCTTTGGTGAAGAACTGTTGCTTTAGCAGATACTCAACATAACAGCACTAGTGAACAGATCTAAGGAAACAGTGTATGTTGAGTGTAACTACATACTCAAAGCATCGTTTTGAGGTTGTCCGTAGCACTGAAAAGAAGTTGGACAGGTTCAACCTGCATCGTTCTCCTAGGTTGATGGTTGGACAAATGGGATCACAAAGAAATCACCCAGAGAAAAAGGTAGAAACAGGATAAATCTGAATCATTAAAACATTTTGTTTTGTTGTATACAAACATAGGTATTCATTTCAAGGTTGGATTCCTTTTTTTAGGGTATGACTTTCGGTTTGAAAAACAGTTCGGACAATCTCATCTCATGTTGTTTTGTGATTAAAAGTAAAACGTTCTCCTTTATTCCTGCCTTACTGAATCACATACTCTAAAGAGGATTGGGACCTCAACTCCCACGTTGCAACTTCTAATGATCACATTGCACCGATATGTGCCCCATCCAACTGAGGTCAAAGTAGCTAGACATAGAATTCAAGCCCATCGTATCTTTTTCCATTGATTTCAACTCTCCTTATTAATTTCCCTTGTTGTTGATGTTGTTGTAAACGAGCTTACTTAAATTTTAATATCTTTTTTTTAAATGCAGTGAAAGAAATGGGTGTTGTAAGTGAAAGTCGTATTGCTCCCATCTTATGTTTTCTTACTATTCTGCCAAAGTAATGCTGTTTTGTATTTCTCCAGAATTTTTATGTGTTAATAAAAATGTATAACACTGTCTCTCAGTTGATCCTAGCCAGACTCACTCAAGCCGCGTTGCAAATGGAAGTGAGGGACATAGATGAATGTTGTTCCGCAGAGTAGTCCACATGCTGGGAGATACCCTCAAGAAGCTCCTTTCTCTGTTAGGTGGCCTCTGCATCTTGGATAGTGAGGGAAAGAACAGAATGGCTTATCAAATTAGTATCGAGAGCAGGAGTCTCCAAACTTGTCAACTTGTGGACTTCAACTCCCAGAATTCTGATAATGCTGCTGAGCAGTGGTGGGATTCAAATAATTTAACAATTGGTTCTCTGCCCTAATGACCGGCTGTGTGGGTGTGGCCATGGTGGGTGTGGCCAGGGGGTGTGACAGGCAGCACTCTGCCTCCTGCATCCCCCTGGGAGCGAAAACGGGCCGTGGGGGACCCGCGCCACCCCTCCTGCCCCATTTTGGGCCTAGGAGGCCTCCCTGCATTTACCTGGGAGTCAAAATGGGGCATGTGGAGACTCCTGGAAGGGGCGGGGTGGGGAGGGACAGAGCCAGCCAGCAATTTAACTATCGGTTCACCCGAACCGGCTGAATCCCATTATTGCTGCTGTGGAATTCTGGGATTCAAAGCCCACAAGTTCCCGAATTTGGAGATCCCTGATCTATTGAGCCAAGTAAGATGGAATAGAAAGAGGCAATCCTTTGGTTAATAGCTAGTAAGATCTTTAGGTGTTTAAGTAGCATTTAGATTGGTTTTTGGGGTTCAAAACAAACTACCCAACCCCAGTTAACGAACGAGCAGGAACTATATTCTGAGGTAATGGAAGTTTCCGAAGCATCTTCCAAGGACAATGGAAGAAACCATCTGGAGATTACTAGAAGATGAAGAAGTGCGGCCAGTCTGTGCCTCTTGTGACAAAAGTGGCTCAAACTTCAGACCTAACTTTTAGGAAAACACATTCTTCTCCAAAACAAGATGAAGACTATTATGTTAGGTAGATAAATGGTTCACCAATTCACTCCAACCAGGCCAGCCTTCAGTCACTGAGTAGGGGGGGAAAAAACCCTATGAGTAAGCTTACATTCAACGTTTGCTTAACTATAGCTTTGTTGAATAAAGCACAATTGGTTGGGTTAAGACAAACTGCTGAGCCATAAAATAGTTAAGAAACTACAGCAGCTAGATCAGGGGTGTCAAAGTCAAGGGCCATGGGCCTTATCCCCCCTGTGTTGTGGTTGGATCCAGCTCACGGAGCCATCCTGGTCTACCCAATGCAAACAGGAAAGATTGGGCCATTGTGGCTTCGGCCCAGTCTACCCAGTGCGAAGAGGAGAGATCAGGCCAGCATAGCTTTGGCTTGGGCTACCCAACATGAAGAGGAAACATGTCAATAGTTTGGGGAGTAGTGTCAAGCTGGCCACGCCCACCCGGTTGGCCACACCCACCCAGTCGGCCCTGCCCACCCGGCTCCTGGCTCCCCCGAAGTCAACCACAGCCCCATGTGGCCCTCAATGAAATTGAATTTGACACCCCTGGGCTAAATTCAAACATCATGCTAAAATAAACCATACATGAATAATGGCTCAGACCAATGCATGAATCCTAATATGGATATCTGGAAAAAGAAAATGAATTGGAATATGTAGACATCCCCTTCTCAACTAAAACGCAATTCTTGCCTGCTTTTGTTACAAAAGCATTAACACTCCTAATCTTATGAAATGAAAACAGCTTGGAAGGAGGGATGACTACTTTCCTCCAAGGAGTGACTATTCAAGTTATTTATTTTATACAACTCCGTTCTCCCTAGTAATTAAAAAGTCGGTTCAGTGGTGTTTCCCAAACTCAAGGGAAAAACATAACTGATTCATAATGAGAACAGGTGCCCTGTTTTCTACTTTCAGATCAAAGAAAAATCCTAAAGCATAGAGATAAAAATGTTCTGTTGGAGAATTTGCTCCATCTGCTGAAAAATTCCTCCCAGTGAAGTCCTGCCAAAAAGAGATAACTACCCTATAATTCAGGGGGTCAGTAATATTTACTTTGGCAATGAAACAAGGGGACCAGGGTGTAATATAACATCACCTGTCCCATGTCTTGTCGTGCCTTGTCTTGCCCAACCTTGACGTACCCCATTGAAAAGGAAGATGTAACTGGTTATCAAAGACAGAACATATTGGTTAATCTGTTTAAATAATAGAAAAGACTTGTAGATTGACTTTTATATTTTGGCAATGGTTTACTCTCCAAGCTTGTTTCAGTTTAGTTTCTGAACGTTTCGTTACCAGTTTAGGTAACCTCATCAGCGGGATTTTCTTGTCCTATTCCTCTTTAGCTTATATATGACACAGGACACTCCTAATTCATTGCAACATATGTTGGCTGCTTGGATTTACATGGGAATGTTTGCAATCCAGATTCACCCGGTGACTATTCGCTCAAGTATTGGCCTGTAGAACTATGCCTGCTGTCATGCTCATCCTTGAGGTTAACTTGCGTGATTAAATAGGAACGCCATTTCTTCTCCAGCCTCCCAGCTCCACCTTATCCGTGTCAGTGGCATTTCCTTGGGACAGTTACTGGCTGAAAATTTAGGAGGAGGGTATGAAAAATGGGGGAGGGAGGGGTACCATGCAGTAAAGAAAGGGTTGCTTAAACTCTTTACATTTCAACACGCATTGGGGACAGAAATTGTGTTCTATTTTTCTGCCTACGAAGTTAGGATTGAATTAAATGTCAAGCAGAAGACAAGAATTTCTAGGGAATTTAGAATGTCTGAGAAGAGCAATGCAAAGAGAATGTGGACTGATGCTTGGCTTATATGTCATTGCCTGTCTATGTGAGTGGGGACGGACAAACAGACAGACAGGCAAGACACCAGAATATAAACTGACAGCAAACGGCACACCTTACTAGCACTGATGGTGTTATCTCGTTTGGGTAATGAAGTCTGCAAGAAAATAAGCAAGGCAAAAAATTCTGGCACCAGATAAGACAATGGATAGAGGAGATACTAATGCAAAATATAGAAGCAAAACTGGAATTCTTTCTACTGGGTATTATTGAGAGCAAATACAACAAGAGCACAATTTACCTAATGTTACACATTTTAACAGCAGCAAGATTGGCTTTTGCACAAAAATGGAAAAAACAAAGAGACCCCCACAGAAGTGTTAGCTAAAATATTAATTTGCGCGGAAATGGACACACTGACCTTGGAACTTAAAGATAAGAATGAATCAGAGTATTATGAAATCTGGGACAAATTTTATTATTGGCCGGAAAGGGGGAGAAATGCTGGGATATGGGACCGTTGACGAGTAAAATGCTTGGAAGTTTTTATGCTAATTTGTTATGATAGATACAATTGAATTAGATATCGAAATAATCTATATGGATGAAAGAATATACGTATTTGAAATGTGATAATCAGTGTAAATATGTATAGAGACAAGGAAGTGTATTAATTATACAACAAAAATTGATGAAAATGTTTAAACTGGAGATGTCACATTATGTCCATTGTTTTTAATTTGTATTATAAATTAAAAAAAACTTTTTTAAAAAAGAAAGAAAAGAAAACAAGTAAGCTCAGAGAGCACCAAGGAGCCCCCTGAGCTACAAATACTCTCCTTTATTTGTTACTAAACAGAGCTGTTATACCTCTATTCTAATCTGCATCCTTCTTTTGGATGGCAGTGCCAAAAATGGATACCCAAAAGAAAATTTCTTTGGTCAGCTCAGGTCTGACCAGGGAAACTCTAAACATTCTTCCATGTTTCTGAAGCTTTTGTCTTACATATGTCCAGCTATGTCCACATGGTTAACATTCCTTGCTGGAAAATTGCTTAAGCCAACTTCATGCTGGTAAAGAATTGAAGGCAGATTTTTACCTTTCCAGCTGCTCAATAGAATATACTTGATGGTCAAGAGAGACCTCTGCTGGAATCCACTCACCACTACGTGAAAACAAAATATAAACTAGGTTCAATTAATTCTTAAAGGAAATTATTACGATTATGCTTCTAGGTTCAATTAATGCTTTAAGGGAATTTTGAAAAACCTTCTTGAGCATTGATTGAGAAGAGGGGGGTTCAATCTATTTTCCAAAGCACCAGAAGGCAAGACAATAAACAATGGGTGGAAACTAATCAAGGACTGAAGCAACCTAGAATTCCCATAGCTTCGAAGAGTCACTAAATGAATGGTCGTAAATTGAGGAATACCTGTATCTCTGGAGTGGTCCAAGTATCTAAAATGCTCTTAGCGGAGGAAGGCTGATGAAAAAGGCTTTTGATGTTTTTCACTTCAAGCCAAGGTGGCTCAGTGGTTAGAGTGGTTATGGGAGCTTCTGGAGGTTCTGAAGGCCCTGGCTGAATCCCCGCCTCTGGTACCACATCTTCTCCAGCCTCCTCACTGTCTGACTCGAGCGCCAGCTGCACAGGCTGCTGGCTCAGCACCACACCAGCCTCCTTGCTGTCAGAATCAGCTACTAACTGCACAGGCCGCTGGCGGGCCACGACACCCCTGCCCTAGTCCTTCTTTTTACTAGAGATACCCAGTTCCAACAGAATCATCTTTATCGCTCTTCTCTGACTCTTTCTAGAGCAGATTTCTCCAACATGGACTCATGGTATGGAGGGAGAGGGGAGGATGGTTCCACACAAGCAGCCGGCAAGCGTGCACGATTTGCACCAGTAGCAGGCACACGCACCTGCCACTTCCTTGAACAGAGCGTGTGCGCCCACTGCTCGCCAAGTGAAGATGTGCGTGCACATGCTCGCCAGCCTTCCTGTGGTCCAACTGCAAACCCCTCAGGGCTCAGTAGTGGGCCGCAGCCCACAGGTTGGGGACCCCTAGAGTCTCAACATCTTTTCTTTATCATTGCGACAAAACTGGATGCAGTATTCCAAGTGTGATCTTACCAAGTTAATATGAAGTGGTACTAACACTTCACACTGATCTTGATTCTATCCCTCTGTTAATGCAGCCTAGAACTGCGTTGGCTTACAGGGACACAGTGGCTCAGTGGCTAAGATGCTGAGGTTGTTGATTGAAAGATCGGCAGTTCAGCGGTTCAAATCCATAGTGCTGCGTAATGGGGTGACTCCTGTTACTTGTCCCAGCTTCTGCCAACCTAGCAGTTCGAAAGCAGGTAAAAAATGCAAGTAGGAAAATAGGGACCACCTTTGGTGGGAAGGTAACAGCGTTCCATGCGCCTTTGGTGTTTAGTCATGCCGGCCACATGACCACAGAGACATCTTCGGACAGCGCTGGCTCTTCGGCTTTGAAATGGAGATGAGCACCGCCCCCTAGAGTCGGGAATGACTAGCACATATGCGCAAAGGGAACCTTTACCTGATGAGTTTCATTAAGTGTTGTACCTTATGATTCTTGATGAATGTATCTTTTATTTTATGTATTTTATGTACACTGAGAGCATATGCACCAAGACAAATTCCTTGTGTGTCCAATCACACTTGGCCAATAAAAATTCTATTCTTGTTCTGTTTGTTCTGTTCTATTCTATTCTATTCTATTCTATTCTATTCTATTCTATTCTATTCTATTCTATTCTATTCTATTATTACACACAGGTTACATCTGTTTACTTTAGCTGTTTTGTGGTTTTTTCCTGCCCAATGATTTTTAGGGTGAAGACTACCAATCAATGGTTAACAATCACCTCTGCAAAACCCAAACCACAGTCACAAGGAAATCTCATCAATTGATTGTGTTTCACTGCGGCGGCCCAAAACATTTTGGACTTTAAGGCTAGTGGGCAAGCAAAAAGGGATCCAAGATCTCTAGGGAGATGAAGGTTGTCAGAAGGCACAATTTGGGCCTTTTAAAAAACCTGCATTCATACATTTCATTGCATGTAACACATTTCAAACAGGAAGCAGAGTTGCAAAGACAAAAGTTGCCATTCTTTTATTTATCCCCGATGTCAGATCTCATTTTTTTGTTGATACAAGACGGGGGCCGCTAAAGAAAGTTACCAACCATTGAGGAAATACATAAAGATACTCACAATAAAAACAACCACCATGCAATTAACAAACGCGGCTTTTGTGTTCTTTTTTTTTTTTCTTCGCCTTCTGCAAACAGCCCCCCCCCTTCCTCCCCCCCGTGGAAAAACTCTTATCCAAGACTCGGCCCTTTTCTTGATCAAGCAGCTAAAAAAAAATATCTAGCTTTAGCTTTGGATCAAATTCAGATTCATCAGCCCAACAAAATGTAACCGGCTGGCTGGCCGGGTTTTTTTGTTTTGTTTTTTCCTCTGGATTTTTGCACACTCCCTTTGCACACTCAGGTCACAAGAGCCCCCCCCTCCAATTTCTATAGCTCCTCGGAAGGGCCCCCCCCGGCCGTCCAGCGCGCTCTTTTGTGGCCCTTCTTGCTTTGCGCAGCCAGGAACTCAGCGGCGTTTCGGGCCGCAGAAAAAAGGCACCGAATACAAAACGGTGGTTCGGAACACCGATTCTTTTCCTCCTTTCTCTTCCCGCTCGGCCGGTCCTTCCCTTCCACCCACCCACCCCCCAGCCACCCATCTCCACGCGCGAAGAAAGGGTGTCCGTCCCCGCGCGCCCCGCAGTGGAGAGGAGAAGGACGACCTTCTGGCCGGCGGGGGTTGCGGATGCGCCTTTCCGTGTGCGTGGAAACCCACCCACCCCTTACCCTTCCATCTCGCGTCCCCGGGAAAGAGCGGGAAGGGGAAAGGAGGAGCCGTTGATCTGCGCCCCCACTCCTCCTCTCCAAAAAAAGAAAAGAAAAAAAGGAAGGAAAAAAAAAGGAAGAAAGGAAGGAGCCGGGTGAAGGGAGAAGGCATCCAAGGTTGCCGCGTAGTAGCCGAGAAAGCGTCGGGAAGAGAAGGGGGTTTCCCCCGTCTCTCTCCCACCCACCGACCCCCCACTCCCTCTTTGCTGCAGCACCGGCGAGATCCAGGATGGGCGAAGCCTCGTAGGAGAGAGAAGCGCAGCGTAGCGCAGCGCAGGCGGAGACATTTCTTCGGGCAACCTTGTTCTCAAGCCAGGGCTGGGGGAGGGGATCCCCGCCTGGAAACCTCCTCTCCCCCTTTCCCCCCCCCCCCACATACACACATACTCCGCTCCTTTTGCATCAGCCCCCTCCCACTCCTTGCCTTGCCCGGGACCCCCCTCAAAGCGGCTTCATCGTTTTGGGTAGGTGGGTGAGTGGGGGGCAGACTGCTAGTTGCCCAGCCCAGGGCCTTCGCTTTCCCCCTTTTGCACGCGCGCACACACACGTATACACACACACACACACAGAGAGACACACAAGCGGACGCAGGCACCCTCGCTCGCTCTCACTCACTCACTGACACACACACACACACGGACGTAGCCTCTCTCTCTCTCTCTCTCTCTCCTTTCCATCTCTTCCTCTCTCTTTCTTTCCATCCCTCCTTCTTTCTTTCTCAGCTCCCCTCTTCTTCCCCTGCTGCTCCTCCTCTTCTTCTTCCATCACCGCCGCCGCCTCTTCCTCCTCCTCCTCCTCCTCCTCCTCCTGCCGCCACCGCCGCTCCGCCCGAGGCCTTTCCCTTCCCTCCGGAACCGATTCGCCTTCCTCCCCCCCCCCCGGTGGCGGGAGGAGAGGGAGGGGCAGGCAAACGCTCGCTCGCATCTTCCACCCTCCCCCCTCCGGCCTGTCTCTCTCTCTCTCTCTCTCTCTCTCTATCTCTCTCTCTCTCTACCTCCCCCCCATCTCTCCCTCTCTCTCCCCCCCACCTCCTCAACCTTGGCTCGGCGGATCGGGGGCAAGGCCTGGGAGCGGTGCTGGGGGTGGCCTCGGACGCAGAGACGGGGCGGGCAAAGCTGGACTCGGACCCGATGGCTCGTCCCAGGCCCCGTGAATACAAAGCCGGGGATCTGGTCTTCGCCAAAATGAAAGGCTACCCGCATTGGCCGGCCCGGGTGAGTACCAGACAGGAAAGGATGGGGTGGGTGGGAAGATGGGGCGCCTTGGAAGGGAAAAAAAAGGGGGGGAGGGGGTCCTGGGCCTGGGGAAGAACTGAACGCGGGCCTTTTCTCCTCTTCCCCCCCCCACCCCCAAGCCAGGCCCATCCCTTCCCCACCCACCCCCCTCCCTCCCTCCCTCCTTCCCTCCCTCCCCGTTGGCGCAAAGGGTTGGCTGCCTGTTTAGCCTTTCCGCTCCCCCTCTTGATGATGGAGCCTTTGTGTTGGCAACGCGAGGATAGATGGAGGGCGAGAAAGACACGCATACACACAAAAGAAGAGAAGCCCGCCTCCATCCATCCTTCCATTCTTTCTCTCTGAATTTAACAAAACCCCCCCCCTTTTTTTAAATGGGATCATTTGGCAACTGAGAAGGGGGGAGCGATGGGTGGGTGGGTTTCCTGGTTCTTTCTCCTGATGGGATCCCCCCCTTCCCCCATCCAGGCACAAACACACACACACACACCCCTTTCTTCCTCTGGATGGTTTGGTTCCCAGGGTCTTTCAAAGCAGCCACAACAGCTCTGGGTCCTTGGAATTGGGGAGGGGGGCTGGAGAGGAGAAGGAGGAGGAGAAGATGGTTGGTGGTGTGCGCGGAGGGATTGTCGTTAAAACGGCTGCAGAAGAGAGAAAAGCCGGTGGGCTGGTCAGCCTGATCATGATGCCAGGTTTATTGTCATCACCGTCACACACATACACACACGCCTTAAATTCCCTGCTGAAAGCCGCCCTCCGCCTCGCCCCCTTCCTGGTTGCTGTTTGCGCGAGAGCGGGAGAGATGGAGGAGGGGAAGAAAAATCCGTATTTTTCACCCCCCTTCCTCATAGCCAGAAGTGCTGAGCCTCTTCTGGAAGGCCTGCCTGGTTTGGAGAGAGGCTGCCCTAGAGATCCATTCTAAGGCTTGTGAAGAAGCCAGATAGATCTCTGGGGGTGCAGAAGCTTTCCTGGGCCTGTTTTTTTTTTTTTTTAGCTCCTTGGCCTAAATCTTGGATGTTTTGAGGTTGGAAATGGATGCCCCTACCTCCGAAATGGGCAGAAGAGAAGCAGTGTGAGTGGTGGATGGGCCTTGGCAAGGTTTTGAGGCCAAGAGGCCTAGTTGATGCCTTAGATTGGATGGTGGTTGCCTTACGCTGGTAGTCCTCAAGTTACGGCCACCATGGAGCTGGAGATTTGCATGAGACGCTGGTGAATTTCGTTTTGTTAGATAGGGCCCAGGGTTCAAGTCTAACAAGGAAGAGGAGGTTGTTTGCGTTAGTTTTGGGAAACTAAAACAACCTGGAAGGCAAATGGAAGCATTGCTGTTCTTCAGAATTAGGGCTCGCAAAGAACAGTAGAGATAGTCCTTGACTTATGACTACAATGGAGCCCAGAATTGATGTTGCCGAGGGAGACGTTTGTTAAGTGAGTTTTGCTCCGTTTTTTACGACCTTGCTTGCCGCAGGGTGTTCGGCGAATCGCTGCCGTTGTTAAGTCAGTAACTTGGTTGTTAGGTGAATCTGGCTTCTCTATGGACGTTGTTCGTCAGAAGGTCACAAAAGGGGGTCACATGACCTCGGGACACTGCAACCGTCATAAATAGGGAGTCAGAATGTCTGAATGTTGATCATGTGGCCATAGAGCAGGGGTGAAACCGGTTCGCCTGAACCGGTAGCAATGGTGGTGGGTGGTTCGGAGAACCGGTAGCGACGGCACCACGAGGCTCCATCCACCCGCCCGGTCATCGTTACTTCCTGGTTTTAACCAGGAAGTAACCTGTTTTTTACCCTCTGCGCATGAGCAGAAGGGTTTGCACATGCGCAGAGGGTCCCCATGTGTGCATGCACTTCCGAACCGGTAGGGAAGGTAAGTAGATTTCACCCCTGCCATAGAGGATGCCGCAATGGTCATAAGCGTGAAAAAACAGGCCAGATGGCTTTTTTTTCCAGCGCCGTTGTAACTTCGGGTCACTAAATGAACTGTTTTAAGTCGAGGACTGCCTGTACTGGATGTACAAGATGTGAGAACGTAGGGTCATAAAATGCATTTGATTGAAGCCAATCAGGTGTTGAGAAGGGTGCATTTTTTTTTTTTAAATTTGATTTATATGCCGCCCTTCTCCGGAGACTCAGGGCGGCTTACAATGCGTTAAGCAATAGCCTTCATTCTTTTGTATATTTTATACAAAGTCAGCTTATTGCCCCCACAACTGGGTCCTCATTTCACCTACCTTAGAAAGGATGGAAGGCTGAGTCAACCTTGAGCCTTGGAGAGATTCGAACCAGCAGAAATTGCAGGCAGCTGTGTTAATAACAGGGTGCACTAAACCACTGTACTATCAAGGCTCTTTTAAATTCCCTTCCCCTTGCTTCTGACATGCATGAACTTTTGAAGATAATTTGAACCCCAGACCCTGAGCTTGGAATCTGTGCATCTGGGCTTCTGTATCTGCAGTGCCAATACAGGTAGTTCTCGACTTAACAACCATTCATTTAGTGTCCGTTACAACAGCACCAGAAAAATGGACTTTGGAGTGTTCCTCGCACATAAAACGGTCACAGTATCCCCCCGCCACCAGGCAAATGTTTAAAATGTGGGTGCTTGGCAACCAGCATTTATTTAAAACAGTGGCCACCTCTCTGTGTCACCCGATGACCACTTACACTTAGGCTTCCCAGCGAGGTTCTGACAAGCAAAGTCAATAAGGAAAGCCAGGTTTGTTTAAGGATTGCATGATTCATTAAACTGCGGGGATTCACTTAACAACCATGGTTTTAAGAGAAAAAGGTCACGGGATGGGCTATAACTCACATAATAACCCCCTCCCCTGCTTAGCAATGGAAATTCTCGCCCCAGTTGCGGTTGGTCATACGTCAAGAAAGGACCACCTGTATTCCTTTTGCTTGCAACTGAAAGCAGGTGGAACTTAGCAAACATCCTTCTGCTGCAGAGGCCTCCTGAGGTGGTCATGTTTGGAAGGCTTTCTGGTAGGGAAACCTTGGTGGTTGTAGACACAAGAGAGGTTCCCTCTCCTCTAAGAGAGTGGCTTTGTGGTAGAGAATCCTTGGTGGTTGTAGGCACAAGAGAAGATCCCTCTTCTCTAAGAGAGTGGCTTTGTGGTATAAAATCCTTCGTGGTTGTAGGCACAAGAGAAGGTCCCTCTTCACTAAGACTGTGGCTTTGTGGTAGAGAATCCTTGGCAGTTGTAGGTACAAGAGAAGGTCCCTCTCCTCTAAGAGTGTGGCTTTGTGGTAGAAAATTCTTGGTGGTTGTAGGCACAATAGAAGGTCCCTCTTCTCTAAGAGTGTGGCTTTGTGGTAGAGAATCCTTAGCGGTTGTAGGTACAAGAGAAGTTCCCTCTTCTCAAAGACTGTGGCTTTGTGGTAGGGAATCCTTGGTGATTGTAGACACAAGAGAGGTTCCCTCTTCTCTAAGACTGTGGCTTTGTGATAGAGAATCCTGGGTGGTTGTAGGCACAGGAGAGGTTCCCTCTTCACTAAGACTGTGGCTTTGTGGCAGAGAATCCTTGGCAGTTGTAGGTACAAGAGAAGGTCCCTCTCCTCTAAGAGGGTGGCTTTGTGGTAGAAAATCCTTGGTGGTTGTAGGCACAATAGAAGGTCCCTCTTCTCTAAGATTGTGGCTTTGTGGTAGAGAATCCTTGGCGGTTGTAGGTACAAGAGAGGTTCCCTCTTCTCTAAGAGTGTGGCTTTGTGGTAGAGAATCCTGGGTGGTTGTAGGTACAAGAGAAAGTCCCTCTCCTCTAAGAGTGTGGCTTTGTGGTAGAGAATCCTTGGTGGTTGTAGGCACAATAGAAGGTCCCTCTTCTCTAAGATTGTGGCTTTGTGGTAGAGAATCCTGGGTGGTTGTAGGTACAAGAGAGGTTCCCTCTTCTCTAAGAGGGTGGCTTTGTGGTAGAAAATCCTTGGTGGTTGTAGGCACAAGAGAAGGTCCCTCTTCTCTAAGACTGTGGCTTTGTGGTAGAGAATCCTTGGCGGTTGTAGGTACAAGAGAAGGTCCCTCTCCTCTAAGAGGGTGGCTTTGTGGTAGAGAATCCTTGGCGGTTGTAGACACAAGAGAGGTTCCCTCTTCTCTAAGACTGTGGCTTTGTGATAGAGAATCCTGGGTGGTTGTAGGCACAGGAGAGGTTCCCTCTTCACTAAGACTGTGGCTTTGTGGTAGAGAATCCTGGGCGGTTGTAGGTACAAGAGACGGTCCCTCTTCTCTAAGAGTGTGGCTTTGTGATAGAGAATCCTTGGTGGTTGTAGGTACAAGAGAAGGTCCCTCTCCTCTAAGACTGTGGCTTTGTGGTAGAGAATCCTTGGCGGTTGTAGGCACAAGAGAAGGTCCCTCTTCTCTAAGACTGTGGCTTTTGTGATAGAGAATCCTGGGTGGTTGTAGGTACAATAGAAGGTCCCTCTTCTCTAAGACTGTGGCTTTGTGGTAGAGAATCCTTGGCAGTTGTAGGTACAAGAGAAGGTCCCTCTTCTCTAAGAGTGTGGCTTTGTAGTATAAAATCCTTAGTGGTTGTAGGCACAAGAGAAGGTCCCTCTTCTCTAAGACTGTGGCTTTGTGATAGAGAATCCTGGGTGGTTGTAGGTACAATAGAAGGTCCCTCTTCTCTAAGACTGTGGCTTTGTGGTAGAGAATCCTTGGTGTTGTAGGCAAAAGAGAAAGTCCTCTTCTCTAAGACTGTGGCTTTGTGGTAGAGAATCCTTGGTGGTTTTAGGTACAATAGAAGGTCCCTTATCTCTTAAGAGTGTGGCCAATTCGAACAGGCCATTGAAGAACAGCCAAAGTGCTTATCTGAGCTTTAGTTGTGGAAGAAAACAATGGGTCATTGCACATTTAGATTTATATAGTTGATCTTCATAGACCCACAACCTACGAGATTTGCAGATTTGTCTTTGGTTACTGTATAAAAATCTAGAGTAATATCTGCATACGTTGGGGACCAGTTTTGTTTTTCCCAAAGTTCTGCGACA